AAATTCATTAATATAATAGAAACAAGAAAGTTCAATGTGGATTTCATCCCCTCACTGCCCACGGTGGCGATTTTAGTAGAACGTCAGAAAAGAGATTTGTTTCTGTTGTATTCAAAAGAGTGTCAAACCTATCCTCCACCGCTACTTCTGTTCCTTTTCACATTTTTCGTTTCTAAAAGAAGACCTTCGAGGTTTACTGTCAGAGATCTTCCAAATGTGTGAGCACTGATACGTACAGCTTCTATTGTGGCGTCGTGGTTTTCAATTCGGTCAATCTATATTGTTGCGTACTGATAAGCATAGGAAATTTTACAAATTTTAACGCCGATTTATCGAGCAATCATTGACATCTTGGTACGATAATTCAATGGTATTTTTTAGTCCTCATCTGGAACAGTTGGGGGCGTTATGAAATGGTTTCCAAAATGACTGAGTATTTCTCATGAACGTTTAGTTTTGAGTCTTATAGCTGTTTTTAGTTCCTGAATAAATTCGCCGATACAATGCAGTCATATTTTGGCAAACTCAATGAGGAGAACGTCAAAAACAACTTCGTGTTGATCTATGAGCTGTTGGACGGTTAGTTTTCTGTTCGATAAGTTTGTTCCTCTTTTGTTAAGAGTTTTTACTTTTTCTTCCATACTGGTTATTTGTTATTAGTAATTTATAACCGCAGCAGACGTAAATTACGCTATCACGTAGGATTTGCTGACTTAAAGGGATGAAATGACGCAAATTTATTCACATGACATTTTCACCTTTTAAAAGTGGTACTTCGAGAAGGGAAATTCACACTGTATCCCCTTGGTGACGCTAATCTCTTTCACTTCCTGTACCCATCGCTCAGTTTTGAAATTTGTCATTTGAAACAATGTCGAATATGGTTTGCATCGGAAAACTACTCGTCGGAAATTCGTTGGTCGGTTGATGGCCGATCTTTCTAGGGTGAGAATGAAGTTGGTGTAGCCACTCCATTGTGCTGTGGGCTAGAGCGCGTGACGGATTTGGTGGAGGCTGTATCAGTTCTGAGTGGAACGATGAAACGATTCCAAGCAATGTGGATGGAAACTTTTATGTCTTCAGAACGGAGCTGGGAAGAAGAGGATCTTTTTTCGTTCTAGGCTTAGTCCTGAGCTCTCTCAGTGATACAGCACCAATACTGCCAGGTCTTAGTAAGAGAGTCAGACGAGCACGCGAAGACGAGTGCTTCTCTCAACTCCATTTTAGCCATTTTGAGCCCTAGGTCGTGAGCGAAACTAATGCGATGTCTCCTTTTGCGAATCGATTCCGCGGTGCTCTTTCAGCCAAATGCTGCCATGTAGGGTTGCTATATAATGCCGCGCCTTTTTTTTCAGCAAGGTGCACCTTTACGCGCATCACTAGAGCCCTTCCAGTTTCTCCAATGGATGTTGCGTTGCACATTTGATATTCAATTGAATTCTGAAGTGCAAATTCTGGCATGCGAAACACATTTCTGCCAGAAAAGCGCTTGAGGAGTTCTGGATTCACGCAAGAAGAAAATCCTGGAATGAACAACGCAAAAAGTGTCCGTGTTCCACAAATGGTCTCTCATTTATTTATGTGGTCGTTTGCGCCACATTGTGAGCTACCGAAATAAACACTGAGGCTGCATATCCAAAGTATAGCTCCTATAAAAGAAACGCAAAATGTGTTCCATTTACATTACTATAAAGAGTGTGCTGTTCCGCTCTCGCGAGGTAGGCTTGTTGAGTTTGTTTCCCTTGGTCAAGTTTTTGAATGATTTCTCTATTTTCGAATGATTTTTCTAATGTTCTGTCAGAAGCGCTGGGATAGGATGTGTTGGACGGTTAAGATGGCATACCACCAACCCACAGTAGGCCTTCGAGGATGGCGATCTGGTCGAAACATTGTGTCGTTGGTTCACCCTCAAAAATTCCAGTGACAGAAGAAGAACTCGTTAAATGCATTGAAGCATTAGCCTTTGCCTGCTAACTATATTAAAATATCTACCCCCTCTCCCCTCTCTCACCATCCCACTCCTGTTAAGCTCATAGATATGTGGTTGGCGAAACTCGTCCGGTGCTGGGCTACATTTTTTTCTGCCGCGCAAGCTGATGGTCCTCGCATGTGACATTCCGATTTGCGCACTTTTCATATCCACAGTGTCCGCGATTACCGTACTATCTGCGTGCACTGGCACAAATTCTGAAAGCATCCTAGCTAATGTCGCGACTGCATCACCACACAATCGCATCCAAGGGGGCATGGATCGAGGTTTCCGTTGCAGTCTAAAGATCAGCGAAGACTGTGTTTATGTGGCATGCCACAAAATGAATGGTACACTCGAGGCATACACTTGCAATGGGGTTCGAAACCGTTTCCCAAATACCGCATGAATCTTGCGGGCTATAAAACTTCATACGGTGAGCTATTTATTCTTGAATTGAGCATAAATCTGTTGATGATGATCGGGACGTGCTCTGACACCCTTTTTGCATACTTTAACGCAAAGTTGTAAACTTGATAATATGTCTACTAGTAGTGCAATGAGGTAAGAAGTGCATTTCAACCGTCGAGAGAAACAGCATATATCATCAATAAAATGGATTGGCTTATCGACGATTACTGAAGAGAAGATGTATTTCATCGCCTATCAACCTCACCGTTTCCAGTGGTGTTGACAAAGGTTATAGCTCTCATCATTCAATCATTCTGAGCCCACCATTATGTGCGCTAGAAAAATTGTTTCATTCTTGAAATGAGCTTATAACCTTCCAGTAATTGACATTTGGTCTACAGAAAAGTGGTATGTGTCTTGCCGAACAATGCTTCAATGACAATATTTGAATGCTTGACAACACGTGAACGAATATGAAGTGAGATTGTGCATATTATGACAAAAAGATATTGCCAATTGATGACTTTGGTTAAGGTCAAAGCTGTGGCGTGTAAGGGGTGTTGAAAAAAAAAACTGAAAGGTGGCAGTACTATTTTGAACAAAGACTGAACGTTCTTTCGCTTTTCAAAAAACTTTCGTAGATTTTTTCTTCTCGTTTTAGAATTGTGGATTTCGGTTACCCGCAGAACACGGATCCAGGGGTTCTTAAAACGTTCATCACTCAACAAGGTGTGCGCACTGCGGTCAGTTTTCTGAAACGTGGTTCATTTCTACCAACGAGGAAAGGTCAACACGTCGAGCCGGCAATTTGGAATTTTGTAAACGTCAACACGCTTATATTTTGAGACGCTGAGCTCAAATTGGGCGGGGGTTGCCTATCGGCGTACGAGCCGCGGCGCGAGCGGTGCGGGTGTGGCCCCTGCTAGGCTGCCGGGGCCATACCTCCTCTGCGAAACGCGTATCGTTCCGCACGCTCAGGGGGGAGAGGCAACTGCCTCCGGCTCGGTACATTTCCGTTCTCCGAACCCCGACCTCTAGGGGGAATCCTAAGTATCGTCTGTTTCGGTTCCGCTTCTACCAACCATGTAACAATTTATGAAAGCTGCCTTCTTTGGTAGTCATGTCAAAATTTCAGACCTCGCTAGGCAGTTGTTTGGGGGTAATCCAACCCACTGAGCGCGAATATCGCGTTGAAACGCCTACCGCGTGGACTGGGTGTTGGTTTCATTAGGACAGAAAGCGACGATTTCGTTTTTTCCGCTGCGGGAACCTCAGGTCCACCGCTGATCATCAGTGGACCCGAGGTTCCCGCAGCGAATCATCAGTGGACCCGAGATTCCCGCAACGAACAATGTTTCGCGCTGCGAAACGCGAAAAAGTCGCTTTCTGTCCTAATGAACCACACCCGCAGGGACTAGCTGTGATAACGGCTCAGGGGGCGTGGGATGCTGCCATGGAAAGCCAGGGGCAAATATTGCCAAAGGCTGTTGAAAACTGCTCGCAAACTCCTATTGCCGCAAAAGCCATTCCGCATATACCGAAAGTAGATTTGATATCACCGTCTCATTTCGCACGTCTGCGTTCATTGGTACCAAGTGCCCGGATTGACGTGTTGACCTCTCCCTCATGCTTGTTCACAATATCGCTTCATGATTTTATGCTTTTTTTCTCCAGGAAACCAATGTACCAGTGGTGAGTTGGTATTGTGTTGTAACATGATCATCGTTGTGCGGTCGTTTAGGCTTTCTTATGTGGGATTATTTTCCAACCGTGCTTATAATTTGGGTGAGATAAGTAGGAATGCGCGTAATTGATTAAGTGGATTGTGAAGAGCGAGGATGGAAATAGGGAACTGAAACTGTCTTAACGTATGCGAAAGCTCGGTGGTGCTCCAGCAGGATACTGTGAGCTCGAAGTGACGTCGAAGGTTTGGCCAGTTGAAATCCGGTACCATTCAGGGCGCTATCTCAGGTCTACACAAGCATAGAGCTTCGCTTCCAGCGCGATCACCCAAAGCGCGGGCAGAAATTCACTGACTCATCGTCTAACATGCCCTGGCACATAGTCGTCGACCATGTATGCTACCCTAGCTCAGGGATTCGAAACTGAGTAGTTTCCTAAAAATAACACCCTATAAGAGCTGCACGGCTGCAACTTCCGCCTTAGGCTGATGTCATACTTTGCGATCCGAGCGCTTGCGCCAGCGAATCGAACGTTGCACCAGCGAATCGAACTATGCACCAGCGAGTCGAACGATGTACCAGCGACTCGACACTGTTTGAAAGTGGCGGGACTTCCTTTAAACGTTGGTCCCGCCACTTTCAAACAGTGTCGAGTCGCTGGCGCAACGCTCGGATCGCAAACTATGACATCGGCCTTATAAAACTGGGTGACTCCTTATATCGGTCCTTCTTCCTCAATTTTTTTCATCCTCTAGAAAGTCACCTGCTATTGTGCTGTTCTGCTCATGTTCGTCCAACTTCGAAACATTTTTCCCCATTCT